AAGCGTGTACTATAAGAAATGTACTGATATTCCAACTAAACGTAAACCGTAATTCCGAAAACCGATTTAGTTTAGTTTTCTAATCTTCCTAAAAAAATACATTTGACATTTTATTTCATTAGCTCGAATTAAACGTCATTCACAAAAAATATTTTTTTAAATAAGATTAAAATCAAAGCGACTCTTTAGTTTCGTTGTTTTAAATATTTCAATCGCTTGTGGTTCGAACAATTGAAAATGACCAAAAAGTTTATATAAGCTTCTTGAAATTGACGTAATGCATTGACTTACAAATAAATGGACGACGGGTCTAATACAAAAACCACGAAAAAAATGTCCCAAGTCAACCTATTCGAAATTTAAATTGTTATGTCATCGCAGTATCGCGCTGTCCGTAGAACAAATGAAGACTAAAGCGGAGTGTCGCGCTCTGTATACGATTTTAGCGCCTTACAAGTGCGGACACTTTTTAGCGCGGACCCGACGTCCATATAATTGTAAGTCAATGACGTAATGGGTCTCTTTCCATCTTTTGCGAATGCAATGTGTAGAAAAAGCACAGTTAGCTATTTGATTATTTTGTGTGCTTTTGTAATTTATATTTACGATTCATTTATATATAAATTAAATACGACAAAACTGTACAAAATAACACTTTTAAATGAGAACTATGATAACACAATATATTTGTTTAGCGAAAATATTATACAAAATCCTGTTTTTATACTTTACTCATTGACTTACAAATAAATGGACGACGGGTCTAATACAAAAACCACGAAAAAAATGTCCCAAGTCAACCTATTCGAAATTTAAATTGTAATGTCATCGCAGTATCGCGCTGTCAGTAGAACAAAATGAAGACTGTCGCGCTCTGTATACGATTTTAGCGCCTTACAAGTGCGGACACTTTTTAGCGCGGACCCGACGTCCATATAATTGTAAGTCAATGACTTTACTGCAGTAATTTTGACAAGTTATTATTATATGGTACTGCATGATTGACAACCGCGCTGTCACTCGAACAAATGAAGACTGTTGCGCGATTGACGCTGTGTATGCGATTTTAACGCCCTATAGGTGCGGACACGTTTAGGCGCGAACCCGACATCCATTTATTGGTAGGTCAAAGGTATACCTGTATTTTGGACATCTTTTTGTGCAAATTTCTTTATATTACAGCCTTAGAATAATATAATAGAATGATAGTTTCATATCAAACGACCTGTCACAAGTGAGGCAAAAATCAAATTCATGTAGACGTAGGCAACTTGTATCTACGCTCGTCGGCACGCACACAAATGTACAAATAATGATGCCATGGAATAACATTTCCCTTGAAAGTGGGGAAATTGTATCTTGGTTAACTCATCATTAAGTTAAGATGCCTACAGATTTGCCCGACGTGACAATGTAAAATAAAAAATATCTTGAAAACGATACCCAACTTGCAATTATTCGAAAAATCGTGCCCGCCATCTTGGATTTAGAAATGAGTGCCATATTCGTAATGAGCATCCCCAAATACCTCGTAAAGGATACCCATATTGCATTTTTTTTAAATCGTGTCCGCCATCTTGGATTTAGAAATAAGTGCTATATTCGTAATGTACACCCCCATATACGATACCCAGAATCAAAATCAAAATAATCTTTATTGCATAGGTAAGCATTATTACAATAGAAATCGTCACATTGGTTAAACTCTACCGCTCATTCTTAAGGCAGATTCCCCCGAGAAGTATGAGCAAGAAACTCTAGGGGTTGCTCTTTGTAAACAACATTTGTACGCATTTAAATTGCAGAAATGGAAGTCAAATGCACACTTACCTTAGAATTAAAAAAAAATCTGCAGCCATCGCGATTTTGCCTATTCGTTTTATAATTACGTAATATAATTATTTTGAAACAGAATAGCAAAATTGGGGGAAAGAAATCCGTTACTTTGCAACATTTTCGTGTCTTGCTGCAACGAAATTAATTTTCGGTTTTAGTGAATATTTATATAAAAATACAAGTTGAAACGCGTTACTTCCTTGTGAAATGTGATGTTAGTATCTATTTTATGTTTGTCTGACGTATTTTTACACTCATTTACCGCGCATTTCGTCTTTTTTAGCTAAAATTCTGGAGCTGTTCGCGGTGCAAGTGGACCTTGAGCACTGAAGGCCCGTACACTCGTGTAGGCCCATTGGGAGCGCTTCAATTTACCTCTCTTAGCGTGTGCGGACTAGGTTTCTATGCGTTACTATTCTAAGATTACAGCTTAAAAATGGATTTTCTATAATTAACAATAAAATAATTAGTAGTTATAAATTAATGGTTACCTATATACATAGGGCCCACTATAAGTTTTCGGAACTGGCCACTTACATAAACAATATTTAAAAAGTAATTACAACATTTTAAAATGGAACTCTTTGGCTGTAGAATACAATTTGTTTCATCTGACTGTCACTTGTTGTTACATTGTGGCGTCATTATAGAAATTGGTTGTCTACATCACCATGGAAATAACATGGATTTAACTCGTGAAAATTTTTGTAGTATGATTTTCTACGACTTCAAGTGTAATTTAACAGCTCAGCGGAGCTTCCCTCGACTTCAAACTGCTTTTGGCAATGAAGCACTATGCAAGACGACTATTTATAGCTGGTTTGTAGAATTCAAACGCGGTCGTGTGAATCTCAGTGACGAATTTCGTAATGGTCGCCCGTCCACTGCTGTGCATAACAAAAACATCGATGCTGTGCGCCGTATGATCAAAACAGACAGACAAGTGACATACCATGACATTCGGGTATCCTAAGGCATAGGCATGAGTCAAATACAATCAATACTACACAAACATTTGGGTGTAAAAAGCTGTGCTCTCGGTGGATCCCACACAATTTGACTGAAGCTCAAAAAACGAATCGCGTCACTTGGTGCAATGCCATGCTTACCAGATTCAACGAAGGGGCGTCAAATTTGGTGTGGGACATAGTAACAGGTGACGAAACATGGCTTTATAGTTACGATCCCAAAACAAAGCAGCAATCGAGCGGACGTACGTAATCTTTCGAGATGAGCCGAAACCAACCAAAGTGGCGCGCGTGCAAAGTGCCTCTAAGCGGATGATTGCTACTTTTTTTAATAAAATTGGACACGTAGCTACTGTTGCTTTGAAGAATCGTTGTACCGTGAATAGTGATTGGTACACGACCATTTGTTTGCCGGTAGTTATTGTTATATAAGCAAACTCCGCAAAAATAACCGTAAACTTACACCACGATAATGCTAATTCTCGCACGGCCAGACAGACAAATGAATTTTTGAAGGTGAACAACGTTGACCTTATTAGCCATCCCGCGTACAGTCCTGACCTGGCACCTTGTGACTTTTATTTATTTCCAAAAATTAAAAACCAGTTACGTGGTCAACGATTTTCATCACCTGAAGAGCAGGCTGCAGCTAGAGGCTGTCAAAGAGTATGAAAAATATGTTTCAGATATTGTTACGGAGGAGTGGCATAAATGTTTTCAAAATTGGTTCATTCATACGAAACAGTGCATTAACGCTAACGGAGAATATTTTAAGAAACAATAAATTCATTTCTGACCATTTATAGTATTTTTTTCTTATTCATTCCGGAAACTTATAGTGCGCCACGCGTAAAACAACAAATTGTAATTATGAAACAACTTCCAACAAGTCCTCTGTTTCATTGTAAGTCTTACACTTAAGCCACAATTTGACGATCCTTTTGCATTCTATTTTATTCATTGCGAAATAACGCAAAGCAGAATTTAATATAAAATAAAGGAATGCACCAAGGAAGCAAAAGAATCTATGCAAGTGTGGTGTGCGGACTTGTGCACGAGATGAAAAGGTATCGAGTCGTCTGTGGTTGGTTAGAATCAAATGGAATAACCGAGTGCTTTTTCAAAATTCTTTGTTGGATAAACAGTTGCCGAACCGAGAGGAAGGAGAGGAACATGTTCCGCGTATGTCGTTAATTTTCTTTATTTTCAAATCATCCTTTTCTCTTGCACACTTCTTCCCTCTCACTCCCGCGTTCAGATACATTCAATCATAATAAAGCATGCGTTCGGGTCAAGCAATCCCACGTATAATAAAAATGCAAGTAAATTGATTTGCTACTCCGCGAATGGTGGTTGTAGTGTGCACATAATGTACCATAGACAATAGACAATGTAAGTTACACAGCGGCCCACCGTTCTCGCCATTACGACACTAGACAGAGTGGTGTGAGTGGATGCATCGCAAGTGTACCTTAAGTAAACACAATATGTTATTTCATTGAGCTATCCCTGTATGATATATCCAATGATAACGAATGTAATAAACGCCGTCAACAAAAGTTGGCGTCTACGAACCGCCCGCCGATGTTACGTGTGTATGGTAGCGATCAGTGGCCAGAGATTCAGTACTTTGATATGTTGTAGAGCAATGACGTCACTATTTTGTGTGGCCAAATAGCGTTCTCTCCGGCGCACTTTATTTACTTTATTTTTGATAATATAATAATAAATTTTTTATTGACATGGAGTAAATATTCTTTAAAAAGTTTTATAGTTGTTCAAGATTGAAATTATTATCGATTTTAAATCGAATAATTACTGGGCATGGAATATAATATTCGTGTGCATTCGGAAATGCGATAATTGCCAACACATATTGAGAAAATACAAGCACTGTAGTTTGTTCATAAATCATACAAATCAATAGGTACTTTGTAGACTTTGATAATAATTGACGAGGTAAGTATTACTTCTACGTAGCCCAATGTCTACTTACCTATTACGCAAGCCTAAATAATAAGCATTGACAAAAAATGTTCTTTACACCTGCATTCATTGTATAATTATTGATTAATGATGGCAGGTGTAAAGAACACTTTAGCAACGTTTTGTTCTTAAACATTCTAGATATCGAATTTGTCTGGAGTATAGATTGTGATCAAGAAATAACTAATACATAATAAATACGGTACTTACAGCACAAGAAGGGATGTTTTTCAAACTGTCGGCCATTGCGGTCGACATGTCACGAAGGTATCGGATGTCGTAGTGCCGGTTGTAAGGGTTCCGATCCCATTCCGCGCGTCTCGGTCTATCTCTGCAAGAATTTCAAATCAAATTTACCAAGGCATTGGTAATCTTCTTCTTATCGCATTGATGGCTATAATGTTTGCTATCGTGGTAGTGATTTAAGTCCCATTAATGCCCAAGGTGCGCCAGAAACACAAAAATGTTACGTAGTGTGGAGAGGCTTCTTTCGTAGACACCTAGGCACATATGTAATGAAAGAAAAACCTTTCTTCATTAAGTGGGAGCAGAGGAAAAATTCGTAATCTTCGATTGATTTTAAAGGGATATATCCACTTTAAAGTTAAAAATAAAATATTGTATGAGTAACTACACGATATATTCAAGCATAGACACTAATCGGACACATAAAACAATAAAGTTTCCTCGATAGATAAAAATCACGAAATTACCTCTAATTTTCAAATTTTTTCGAATTATCGTCGAAATGCTACAGGTTATTAGGACAAAAATTAGATAATTAATTATATTTATGCATGACCGACAACTGTCACTACGGATTTTTTTAAATCCCTTTACTTTTAGAGATATTCCGCTAAAACGAATTTGGTACTTTTAATGCGCAAAATTCAACATCTCCTGTCGCATGTCACGCGAACTCTGGTATAGTATATACATATTTGATTCACAAATTTGGGCGGAGCTAACGTCAAAACTTTTTTGGCATGACAGCTCTTAAATTGAGTCACTATGAAAAGGTTGTAAACACTAATAAAATAGGATACTTTGGCCCACAAAAATTTATTTGATGGTTTGATGGAAAATAAAGGAAAGAAAAGCTGTAATAAGAAAAGGTACATAAAAATACAAGTAGATTACTATAAAACACAGCAAGTGTTTAATTACATACGGATATGCTGATGAATATAAAATAGACACCCCAAAAGGGCCGAGTTATACAGAATTACAGATTGGTATTAACATTAAAATTGGCACAAGATTTAGGTTGAGAAAATCTCAAAATTAGACGCAAGACTGACGACGGAACGGAACAAAAAGGGAATGACGAGGCAAAGGAGTTAAAGAACGATTCGAAATTTTAAAACAAGTGGCCAGGAACCAGAGAAAAGGTGATAAAATGGTGGAATAAAACAAGGATGACGATGTAAGGAGGTCGCATCGTCACAACTATACACACTAAAATCTAATTCCTTAAAATTAAAACAACAAGTGACTGAATCATATTAGGTCAATAGGTAAGTGTCTAACAATGCCGAGACAGACTGATTTTCAGTCGTTTCTGTATCACCGTCTCCCGAGGAAATGGTACATGATGTGTGTATACTCTGTTGTGTGCCACTTTGCACATTTACCATACACATGCGATACATGTATATTATTTATTTAGATATTTATTTCTGGTCACTTGACTCATATAATATATACCTTAAGGACTAACATATATACAATGTAATATGGCAATCAACTAATCTACACGTATCGCACTTGTCGGCGGCGTGTGGCGCAATCTGGCAAAAAATTATTATATGTTACAGTGAGGAATAATTGTTATTATAATATTGCGAGCACCGTCTAGCGAGGTACGGCAGGAATCTTTAAAAGTGTAATAACGACCGAATAGGAGTATCAGAATGAATGACAATCGCGAACGAACAGTTCCTAGAGTCAGTAGTTCGGTCTTGACGCTCTGAGTGAGCTAGCTCTTGACGTTAGACGGCCGACCGCATTAATTGTGGGCACTGATTAGAATAGATAGAAAAATGGCAAACGGTGATGAAGCTTAAGCCTGAACTTGAAGTAAAATATACATAAATATAAATAAGTAAGAAAGAATTAGGACATCCGGACATCAGGGCATACGATGGTTTTCTATCAACAGATCCTGTCGTCCTCCTCGCGGCTGCCAAACTTACTGGCGAACGGAGCCCTCGCTCCGATCGCCCGCAGCTCCTAAGGTACGCCGCCGCTGAGTGGGATCGGCCCTCTCCCGATCACAATCCTTCTGAAGCATCACCTCTTCATAGAAAGAGACCACTACCTCATGAGACACTTGCTCCTCTTACTCGGCCTGGCGGAGAGAGATCTCGTCCGATCCGGGCAACCAGGATGTTCCGCTCGGAGGCCCACGCGGCGAATCCTCCAGCGTGCGCTGGGCGGAATCCTGGTCCGTCCCACAGTGACGACACAGTTTCGCTGACTCGCGTCCGATCCAATTCAGACACAACACTTCGACATTGGACACAATAGATAGGTACTACAAATACGGGTGCTAACCTAACGCTGTCTTATTGGAAACGTTAGAAGCTTCTAGTTACCTGGTAGGAGACTCATCAACTCTTGATTCTTGTACCATTAATTCCTGATCACAGCAACGTTGCGACGAGCGGTACGTATGTGGCCGGTCCCAATCGTCCCTCTCACGGTTACCAGGAAGGTTGCGCTTGTTAACGGGAACGTCAGAATCGTTAAGTCGGTCTCGAGGGGTTCGGTCTATACGGTCAACTTGGTCAACATGGTCTATGCGGTCAACATGGTCTATACAGGCAAGTCGCTCTATGTGATCTGTAACGCGTTCTTGCCGGTCGTTTCGGTTGCTACGTTCGGGTCGGTCCTTACGGTCTCGGTCACAACGGTCAGTTCGTCCATTACGATCTCGGTCTACACGATCGCATCTGTTAGTCGATGGACTTGGACTTCGAGACAGTTTATCTGAGAAATGAAAAATGGAACATAAAAGAAATTTTATGGATCAAGATCATCTGTGTATTTTAAGGTACAAGATGAGAAGCGTTGGTCAAACTTGCAAATCACGACTGAATAATTTAAAAGGTGGAAAAGGTCTCTACCCTCCTGCTAAGAATCAGGAACTGTAACAGGATCTGTAGGAACAGACTATGAAAAACCCGCGCAATGTTAGATCCTTCTTCCTACAGACTATTGAAAAGTCGGGCAATCGTGGATCCTACTTTCTCCGTACTATGGAAAACGCGCTAAGCTGATGTTTACAAAAATGTAACTAACAGTTTTTGGCGTAATTGGTGCAGTTGATGATTCGTTCCACGATGTCCGCAGACTTATCCGGCAGCACGCCCGGGTAGGGGTACTTGCGGAGGGAGCTCACGAAAGAATCGGGCGGTGAGCGAGAAGGTCGCTCAACGTATACAGCAGCTGAGGGTATAAACGTTAAGTAGATTACATGGAAAATGCAGAGCAGGTGCTTTAGTCAGGGCTCCGTCAATCGTGAGAGATTACGCGATGTATCCCCGGCAGTGCAAGCATTCCAACAAGTCTTTCATTTACATTACAATCCTTGTTTACAACCTAAGCATTTGGTTCCGCACGACTGCACACGGCGAGTAACATTATTTTCACATCTCTGTGGGCGTATTCTTTTTCCTCGCAGCGAGTGTCTGGAGTCATTAGTCAGATTTAGTAGGCTATCATAGCGTAGGTATTTTCGATTTTGTATAAGAGTGATGTTTCTGTTACATAATAACTATTAAGTAATCTGAAATTCGCTACCGTCTTTATGTACAACAAAATCTACTTTGTTTCAAGGCTCAATCAAAACTTTATACTAAGTTTACACCATGTCATTTAATTTGTTTGAAAACTATTCTGCCATATCATTACTGTGACAACTGCGCTCCGATTGGCCAGCCCGAGTTCGAAACAATTGACGGGTGTCGTCAACTGTTTCACTTCAAAACGACTAGTTAACTTGAGCTTTGCTATAATGGACGAAAATTGCAAAATTACATATTTCATATTTAATTACCCATGAAATTTTATTCCGTGTACTAAAGATATTTATCTTTAGTACAATAAATACAGAACATTTTTGGAATATACGGAGACCTACACACAGATCAGTTGTTGGCGCTGTACTATTTCAGCTTTCTAATTTGTAATTTCAGTGGAAACGAGAGTAACGATATTTATAAGTGATGTATCACTGATGAGTTCATCATCACCGTCACCAGGAATATATGGCCCTTATTTCGTCTCTATTTCTGGCTATATACTCGATGGTTTAATGTGTTGTGATGGGTTGCCTACCTATAACAGTTGCAGTGCCACTCAAAGCTATAAATTGCAAATATCTGATGGATAATGCCACTGGGCCCGTCACCCTGAGACAAAGTTCATAAATCCCATGTGCCTGCGGTTTCACCAGCACCCTTACCCTTCAAAACTGAAACGCAGTAATGGTCACACGCTTGGCGGTAGATATAGGCAAGAAAGCAGTTATTTTGTGTTGACTTGAGACCATGATAAAACACATAAAATATCAATCAAAATGGCGAACAATACTCTTAATTGTATTGTTTTCGTACAAGTTGCCTAGGGCACCTGACACCATGAGAAATTTCCGAGTAAAATTTCGGGTCGTAACTCATTTAGGGCTATATTTCACCGGGACACCATGCAGACACCAGAGTCGCCACACCACATTGAGACAGTATCAAAATGGACCTC